ACGCTGTGCTTGCCGCGGTCCACGTAGTCGCCAAGGAACAGGTAGTTTGAGTACGGCGGGAACCCGCACTTCTCAAATATGCGCATCAGATCGTAGTACTGCCCGTGCGTATCGCCGCAAATGCGCACCGGGGGCCGGATTTCCAGCAGCATGGGCTGTGACATGAACACATCGCGCACCTCCGTGAGAATGTCCCGTATGTCTTCCTCCCGGATAAGAATCTGCTGCTGCGCACTGCTCCTTTCACGGTAAGCATCCTCTCGATGAGGTTGTGTGCTAGGGGCATCCTGCTCAATAAAACACTGGCCCTCCGCCGCTCCCTACGGCTTCTCCACTTACCTACCGGAATTCTATTATTATGCTAATATTTGCCCTCGTTTGCTCCACGCCGCCGCCGCCCCCAAAGCAGACGCCCATCGTAAAAAGAAGAGGAAGTGATCAGCTGGATGGCGGTTTTGTAAATTGTATTCGTGGGCTTATACTGATATCAAATCGAACACAGTTTATCTTTTCTTCACAAAAAGTATGGAGGAGGTCGCAAGTGGGGATTGTGGAAAAGAGTGTCGCGTTGAATTTTGCCCTGACACTCTTCGTAATGCCTTATTCATATGTCGTTCTTTGATAGTACTCATTTGGTGCGTGACTGGTTTGGACGTCGGCGCCAGTGGTATATGCCGCCGAAACGACAAGATAGCGGATATTGTTGTAAATGGAATGCCAGAGTAGTGTTGAGCGTGGCAGATGGGCCCGCAGTTTATTGACGGGAGAAGCGTTCACCTCTGAATCTGGGTTGGATGGCGCAATGGCGATGCTGACGGCGTTTGGCCGGCCTTCTTCGTCCTCAAAAGGTTCTTTGCTGCTGGGCAGTAACTGCCGCACCGCCGCCACCCGCGCTCGCAATGCCCTGCGGCGGCGCAACATTTCCTCCTCTTGCGCGACCTGTTGTGGCTTTTGAAGCTGCGACAGCGCATCCTCCTCCTCCGCCACGCTGCGGGCCATGGCGTACATGACATCCAGTGGAATGACGGCCCCGGAACCGGATTCCTCGTAGTCGTCGCCCTCGCTTTCCGTGGATGAGGGCGTGGCGCTGTCGCGCCCCTCTGGCATCAAATTTGACTCCACCTGTCGTGGGAGTACCGACATACGTCTCTCCCACTTCCTCAGCGTGCCGAGCGAGGAGAGGAGCTAATTTCCCAGGCAGCAAGAAAAAAAAACAGGGAGGTGAGACATGACACAAACAACATAATTTAACCGCAGCAAGGACAACAAGGGTGCCTTTAACAAAAGTGGGCGAGGTAAATGATTTCCACCGGAAAGGAAAAGAGAAACAAAAAGTTGCTTGCATGTGATGACAGTGACGCTGCAGCTCTGATTGCTTTCCAGGTCTTCAGAAACACACAGACATAGTGCACGTCCCCATCCGGTTTTAGTCGCTCCGCAGGCCGTGCAATAAAGAATCCACATGAGCCAAATCCACGCCATGCCGCATGCACCCCGTCACATCTAGACGGCTTCCAATTGAGGAGCGGCATAACCCCACAGCACGAAGAACAATGTTTGCCAGGATTTTTGCCTCTACATCTCCACGGGAAAGAGCAATGTATCGAAGTGGGTCGGATATTTTGCTGTTGTTTGCTATTGCGACACGCTGGTTAAAACTGGGGTACACAATGTCAGCCACTCGAAACAACGTGAAGCGCAGCGGCCCCCCATGCTGCAGATACACCTCAGAAGGAGAACCGTCGTCGCAAATGAGAAGACGCTCCTGTCTGCGTGCCGCCTTAAGATAGCCGACACGGTACACGAACAGTTTGCGGTACCACTGCAGCGGCGAAGTCCACGAGGATCTATTGAAGAGTGGCACAAATGCAACAAGGTGGGCGTCCACGAGGCTACACGCCTCCAGAGTGTGGCGCAGCCCCCCGACATCCACTTTGGCACAGCCAGGATCATTGCGCTTCGCCCACGGCCTCCACCAGCTGCTGCACTTTGCTGACGCCAAGTACACTACAAGAGACGCCTGCCGCACCGCGCGCTGCACTTCCACTGGAGACGTCACATCGCCTCGCAGCAGTTCCAACCGTAACGGTACCACAACGCCTTCCTTCTTCATGCCGGATGTGTAACGCACAAAGCAGCCTTCTTCAGTCAGGCCAGTGCTGTGTTCCTCCACAATCTCCATCCCGCTTGCGACATTCCGCTTGTACAGCGCAAGAAACGTATCCTTCGCCTTGTCGAGGTCACGCGCAAGAACTGTCACGCTGATGCCACGCCGAAGGCACTGATGCGCAAGAAAGCGTGCAAAAAAGCCAGTACCACCGATGAGCGCCACCGTCGAAACGGCAGCCGGCGTGTCAAGGTCTTTGTGCACGTCCTTGTTGTTTTGCCGCGGAAAAAAAAGGTAGTGCCGCGCTGACTCCCGCATTGTCGCAAAACCCGCAACCTCCGTCGCGGAAGCGGCGGTCGCTCGACCGTGCTCGAGGTTGCATTCATGCCGCGTGCTCTCCTCCCGCAGGACGCTGTGGAATGGTGACGCAACGCTCCGCAGCACGCGGGACTGAACCACCTCCCCGAGGTCACACCTCGCCATGGGCTCCTCCCAACCCCGGCGACACGGCACCGGCACGCGCAAGACGGCAGAACAGAACGCAAAACAGGCAACAAACGAGAAGGCAAATGCGATGGATGAGGCCACGTGCACACGCGGAGACGCATTTGAGGCTGTAGACGCATTTACGCATGCCGGCATCCCATAGAGATGCCATTCTCCCCATCCACCCACTAGACTCCAAAATAAACGAATAACAATTTTTTTAGTCCGACAGCAAATAACAATAATAATAAAAAAAGATAAAATGTGAAAAGCGGCGGCGCTTACTCTTTTTTTAAAAACTTTCTTTGGTTCTTTTTTCTTCTTCTTATTTGAAGGAAAAAACAAACAAACAAGCTTTAAAAAAAAGGACCCCTTTATGCGTTCGCCATCGCCGGTAGGCTATGCATGGTCGCTTGCAGCATTTTTTTGCATCGGCTGCCCTCCGGTTCTGCGGCGACTAGCTGCTTAATGAGGTCCGGGCGCTCCACAATGTGCGCCCCCTTTGCACATGCCACCCGCACCAAGTCGCTATTGTGCCCCTTGTACACCTCAAAGACCTCTTCGACGAAGCGCTCATAGTTCAGCAGCGCCAGATAGATAATGGTGTACGCCAACTGCCCAAGAATTCGATTCGAGCTCAGCTGATCTTCAGAGATGCGAATTACACGTTCTACGACGTCAGGGGCTCGCGCGGATGCCACCGTCAGGAACTTAAGCTCTTCCAGAAGTTCTTTTACCCCCTTTGTGGTGTTCTCCTTCGCCAGCGCGGCGAGCACGTCAACGGGGGTGTCAAGCGGGTATGTTGTGCCCATGACGTCGTTGAAACGCTGCACGAGCGGCTTGCCGCCAGAAAGACGGGTATTTTCTGGATAGTTAGCGGTACAGAAAACAGGAACCTCCAGTAAAATTTCCTCCTCATCGCCGTCTTCAAGGCATGCCAGGCGGTGATCCACCTGTAGATCAAGTCGTGTATGAAACATGAGCAAAGACTTGGAGTAAATGGTGCGAAAGGCGGCCATGCGCAAGGGAGTCCCTTCGAGATATTTGTTGCCGTCGCTCAACAGCAGCGGCCAGCCAAAGACAAAGGGATTGGACTTCATCAACTTGTCTTCCACAAGCCGAAAATGCGGGGAGGTTCCAAGGAATATGTTATGCTCATGAGGGTAATCCAACTCGATGGTCTTCGGATCACGTCGTCGCATGTCCTCGACAAAGCGATCTTTGATGCTAACAGGGCTGAGTGTCCCGCTAAGCCTTTCCTTCGTAGCCGTCTCGATTGAGTTTTGCACGGATTCGTAGTAGGGAAGATATTTCTTCATGTGCTGAGCATCGACATCCAGAAACTCGCTAAAAATGCGCCTTAAGGAGTCAAGGGAGGGTCGAACCGCGTGCCACAGCAAGGGCGGAAAATGTTCCGAAAGCTGTACAAGCAGTTTCTCCGAGGGACTATTGTGGTCCCACAGCAACCTGCAAGTGTGTTGTGGCTCATTCACGACAGGGGCGTCCTCACGGTCTGGAAAGGCAAAAACCTCGCCAATAACAGTGTACTCCGCCTCTTCTTTGCCAAGACACAGCCGGCGACGCACAATGCTGCTCATCCGCACCGGATCCCAGAGCTCCTTGTCGAAGCTGAACCGCATCCTTCGCCACGCGAGCTCGTCGTATATCTTCACGTCGTACGAAGCAGCCGTCTTGGACTGCTTGGCATCACTGCGCAGCTGGGAGACCCACGAGGGCGGCTGAGGAAGTTTGCAGCAGCATAAACGCCGCGAGACTTTGAGAGTCGGAGGTATTCCCAGCACCCCTCTGCCATTGCCCAAGCGCCGCTTCCACATACTTTTCGGGTTTCTTTTATTCTGTCTCCCCCACTTCTTCCTTTCTCTTTCTTTTTTTTTGGTATCTACCCTAGTTTTCCTCCAATTCCGAGCCTCCGTTTGTGTGGGTCCTTTCAATAACCAGGAGAGATGGGGGTGCAAGAGGCAAACACACACAATAAGAATTCTTCATTTGGCATTCCCCCCCCCCCCCGCCACCCCCACGCTCTTTCAAGAAAGACCAATATATATATATATGTGTGTGTGTGCGTATGTGTGTATACTTATCTTCATCACTCTTGCATTGCATGCATCTTCGTTCCTTCTTGCATTGGCTGCACCGTTACACGACAAATTCTTGTTATGTTTGTATCTGTTTATATGTGTACGTATGTATACAGAGCACACGAAAGAGGGGAAACTGAGGAGGAGGAGGAAGATAGACGTCTCCGTTAAAAGGAGTGTCGGCGCAGGATTCACTCACACCACTAAGACGGCGTTGGCGCCATCTTCCTCCTCTGGCTCACTGTAGGCGACCGTCGGCAGCCGCAACTTCGACATGGGTCGTGTCACCTCTGCTGTAAAGAGACGTGCGTATGTCTTCTCGTACCGCAGCGGTGCCTGATCCTCCGCAGTGCTGGCGAATGCGGACACCATCAACGGCACCGTAGGAATGAAGTGTCGCTCCAGCGCCGTGAACTCCCACAACGTGCTGTGCAATGCATGACACTCTTCAAGGTTCGCCTCCGGCAAGTATGGGTCATTGCCGTCGAAAAGCGACGCCGTCAAGCGTTGTGCCTCCTCCATCTTCCTCTGCCTTTTGTTAGTTGACTCCCCCTCCGCCGTCGCTGCCGTGTCATCAGCTGGCTCGACTGCCTCCTTTGAGGAGCGATGAATCAACGCCAGACAATTGGGATGCCGTTGCAGCACCTTGCGGATGAATGGAAGAGCAAAGTAAAGCACCGGTGCCGGTGAAAGTAGAGCCACACGAGCCACCTTCTTCACGACAGCCGCCGCAATGTATGAAGGCACGCGCAAGGAACTCATAGAGAGATCCAAGAGCCGGAAAAGATCGTATCGGTGACGCGATGAAAAAGCGTCCGGGGTGAGAAGCGTGTAGAGTTGTTGGTAGTACTGTGGATACTCCAGGCCGTGGTCCAGCATGAGGAGGAAGATGCCATGCAATGCCAGCACAGCGACAAGGCCACCACTAGAAAAGCAGCCGCTCAAGTGGTCAGCAACAACAAGTGGATTGGTAAGGTGCGGCAGAATGACGTCGCCCATGCGATGGAGTAGATGCAGATGCAGAGCAGCTTCCGCGGCGTGGTGGAAGCATGGCATCCACAGTGCGGTGAAGTAGTGCCGGTGGGCACGCTCAGAGAAGACAGAAAGAACAGACGTCATCAACGCCTTTCGCCGCTCCGCAGCGTTGGAATGCACATACGACTCGCTGGCTTCATACCTTGACTTTTCCTTCTGCAGAAACCCCCACTGAAGGCGAAGCTCCGACAGGTCCGGGATGACGCGACCGTAGAAGAGCACAAAAACATTCACGACGTGCGCTGAGATTGTCGTCTCACCATTGCGCCAACGCTTCTTCGCGGCGCGCTCCAAAAACGTTGCGGCGGCCCGGATCAGGAAGAACCATACGTCGTCTCCCGTATTTGCTCCACACAACGCCTCACGTAGTTGTGCCGCATGCGGACTGCACTCATCCGGGCTCACGTGTTCCCGCACAGGCCGCAGCAACGCGGTGCAAAGACAGCGCTCCAGCAGTGGACGCACCGTCGCATCGAAGCGCCCGCACAATTCCTGGTACGTCGCACACTGTCCACAGTGCCTTAGTGCGGCGGTGAACTTCGCCTCCATTTTAGCCCCTGCTGGCTGCCTGCTGCGGTTTCGCCCTCGTTTTCTCGCCCCACAAGCAAACCCTGGCGAAGCGACGCCATCCATCAGAGCACACAAACAAAAAAAGAAGTACCAAAAATAAATGAAGTGCGTAACTCAAAATTCAATGCAGCAGTCAAACAGTCACCCTGAGAAGATAAATTAAGCGACTGCCAACTTGCAACGCCACACACACACACACACACACGCACAGGAAAAGGGAAACAACTCTTGTTTTGTTCTACTTCAGTTGATGTTGTTGTTTTTCTGCGTGCGTCGTTATTGTGGCAGATGCTGCTTTTCCCCGAATGTTTTTCATCACGCAGAACCCCCCCCTCCTCCCCCTGTCACGCACTTCACTCGGTGGGAAGGTTAAGAAGTTCTGTGATAAGTCCCGGGCAGGCGTTCGGCTCGACGTCAAGCCGCGTCAGTTGCGCCACAACGACCGTCACGTCGTCCTGCTTCCCGCCAAAGTAGCGGTACCCCATCGCCCTTGCATTCCTTGCAAAGGGGGAAAAAAACTTGTCATCAACCCCGTTTCTGCAGGCCTCCTCTACGAGGGTCTCCGCGACACGCTGACAGCCTTCGCGTCCAACATTCTCTAATCGCCGCAGTATGTCTGCCATTTCGACGTTGTCTAGCAGCCCATCGCTCGCACAAAGGAAAACGTCCCCCTCGCTCAACTCGAGCGTTGCACGGTCCCCGGCCGAAGGTGGATCCTCCGGGAGCTGATACGGGCAGTTAAACCTGTGCTGCTGCGCCTCGGTGGCAAAAAAGAGCCCGGAACCCCGCAAGCATATCGTACCACAGTCACCAAGGTTCAGCACGGAGGCAAAACGTCCATCGACGAGAGTGACAAGCGACACCGGACACCCGCCGGGTTGACGCTTTTTTTGTGCCTCCGCAAAACCATAATTAAGGGCATCCAGGGCAGTGATGGTGCCGCCATTTTGGTCCTTATCCAACGCTTGTCGGGTAAACCGCATAACATTCCTCGTGAAGACGGCAGGATCAATGCCGACGCGTGCGTACCCGCCAACGCCATCAGCCACACCAATTCCGCTTGTGTGCACAAAAAATGCATCCTCGCCGCCGTTTTTCGCCTTTGAGGGGTGAGGAACCGCAAATGCGCCTCGGCGCCCGAACCACAAGAGGGGCTGCACTGGCGTGGCAGTGAAGAAACGGCGCGAGCATGCGAACATCGCCCTGTGATGTAGGAAGGATCAGGCAGAAAGAGGATGGAAAGAAGTTAAGGATATTTTCCAAGGGGAGAAGTGGGCCAAAGAAAAAAACCAATCAGAAAAAAAGAAAAAAATGTGTTGGGTCTGGGTGCCACCCTGCCAATTTGACGCAGCCGCATCCAACAGCAAACCGCAATTCCTCTTTCTCCCAGAGCCGCTTCAAAGCTTTTCAGGCCCAACCACAACATCCGCCCATTTCTCCCATCCCCACCCAGAGGGTATAATCCTCAATTACACTCACTTATACCGCTCTTCTTTCCTTGTGCCATCCGCAAAGGTCGTCACGCGCACGCCATCCACGCGGTCAAGGATGGAGGTATTGTTCGGGTACTCGTAAAGCGTACTGCCATCCGCAAAAACCGTGGTGCTCAGATCGCTCTTCTTGAAGACTTTAGTGCCATCAGTTCGCAGGAGTGTCACATCACCATTTTGATACGTGTACTGCCATGTGCCATCCTCCAGTTGTGCAGAGTGGGGATCTTGATTGTCCGCAGCAACAGCGGCTTTTTCTTCCTTGGGCTCCTTACTAGTATTCTCCTGCGTTGCCTGTGCCGATACCGTTTGATGCTGAGAGTCCTGTTTGGCAGCCGTGTTGCCGCCTGCTACTGTGATTTCGACCGTGTCAGATGTAAGAATGGTGGCTCCACTGTCGCGTAGTTTACTCATCGCCGCAAGAGCCGCCTCGCGCTCCATCTTTGTACGATGCGCGCGGATCTTGTTCTCGCGCTCCACCGAGGTGTAGTATCTCTCTGCCTGTTTCCACTGCCGCAGGACAAAGTCCCAGTTCATCTCTAGCACGGCCTCCTGGGCAACCTGTGCACGAATGGAGCAAAGATCCCCATCTAAGCCGCCAATAGCATCGGTAGCCGCAACAGTCGTCCCCGCCACAGTTGTAGTTAACGTTGCTGCCGCGAGTGGGTTACGAGCCGCACGGGACCACGGCGCCGGAGGAGACTCTGCCACAGTCCTTGTTGCCTTTGCCTCTATCGCCGCCATCAGCCTGCTCTCGGTCATATTAATCACCGCCAGTGGCCAAAGCCCCAACTCTAGCGGGACCCGGTTGGCCGGAAAGTTCACCACCACAAGTCGTTGGCTTTCAAGCCGTTCCTTGTCATACACCAGCCATGTCCATCCGGGTTCCCGCCGACTTTTCGCGTACAGCACAAACTCCTCGCTGAGACGCGCAAAGGACCCAAGCTGCTTTGCCGCGATGCTCTCCCACTCCGCCGGCACACTTCCGTCACCCCGTGAGCAGTTCTCCTCGAGATTCATGCAGAAATGCTCGCTAGAAAGAAAATGGACGCGCCGCTTGAGACACGAGCGACAAGGGCGCTTTAGAAAAGCGCCGTGGTCGGCCAGCGCGGTGAGCGGAAGCGCGCGCGCAAGCACGGGGCAGTCAGGCAGGTGCACATCGTTTCTTCTCGACGTGTGCCCGGTGGCGGCAATGAGGTGTGCCGCAGACACAGTCTCTCCATTCGCGACAGGCGGATCGAGCAGCGGGAGAAGAGCCGGGACAAGTTTTTGCAGCTCACTCGCCACACATGCAGCCCTTGCGGCGGCGGCGGCGGCGGCGGCAGCGGATACTGCGCACAGCAAAGCTGACGTCTTCCTTAGCATTCCAGCCGCGGGTCTTCTCGCAGTGTGTGCGTGTGTGTCTCCCCCGTACAACGGCGCTACCTCTCACCCTCCCGGAGCAAGGAGATGCTAAACGCGCAAGGGACCGCAAGAGCAAGGTGAAGGCACACAGGGGCGCACGCACGAGTGAAAGAGAGAAAGAATTCGTGCAAGAACCAAGCAGGAAAATATCCAAAATCGAGTGAACTACAAAATAAATAAATAAAATATCCCACTCATGATAAACTAGCTACAGTAGCTCTCTCCTCCGTGCATACTCAGATCGCAGTGTCTCGCGCAAAAACTAGTGCAGCAATGACGGTGGCAACAACCGAAGAATTAGCAGTGATAACAGCAATAAAAGCGGTGACACCAGTATCTCTCACAAAACGAATTAAGCTGGACGGAAAGAATACCACTCAACCCTCTCTTTGTTCTTCTTTAACTTATTTTGTGTTGTGTAGGTCTTCCCGTACATGGTGGATGCCTTTTGGAGCGTCTTATCAACAAGGGCTGCAGCGTTGCTGCTGCGTGTTCGCACCTTGGATAGGAGGGCCTTACCCACACTGTCGTCTCGAATCCCGTACCGAACGTACAGCTGCAGCCACCGCAATGCATTCTCAACGGCCATGCTGCTGGCAAGCCGTAGGACATTTTTTCCTACCACCCTAAAAAAGACGTTCGGAAGTTCCGGCGCGTTTGACGCCGCCTCGAGAATGCGCATTAGCATGTTCTCATCCAGGGTTTGCATCGTGGCGGCACCGGAGCGACACACCGCGGCGGCGGCCTCCTTGTCATCCACAACCTTCAAAAAAGCCCGCCACACATCTTCCAACTCCAACTCTCCCGCCAAAAGGGGAGGACGCGACCTGAGCGTTGCCGCCATCACTGCCCTCCGGTCCTTCCCTTCGCCTGCAATGGAAAGGAGTAGGAACACATCAAGCGTCGTCAATTCCTCTGGACGTGCACGGGAGAGTAGTTCTGCTCCTGGTAGAGCCAGAAGGGCCTTACGCTGCTTCTCGCTGCATGCACACGCCACCAACACGACGTCCGACAAACTCCAGCCCTCAAGCGAGGTGACGTGTTGTGTTAGTGCAGATTGCTGAAAATACGGGACAAACTTCAACTTCCGTGCGGTTAGCGCGGCTGAGGTGATGCCATCGTGGTCCGGTGAAAGTTGTGACAAATGGGATAGAAGCGCACGAAACATAAGGACGTCACGCGACTTTAGCGCCACTAACACCCCACAGAGAGACTTGACGTGGGCGGTTGTCATGGCGACGATGGACTTTGAAAGGCGGGTCAGTAGTGGCGTCGTTAAAGACCCGTCATCAAGCCCAAGTTGCACAACCAACTCCAAAATTTGAATGGCATCGTCCATGTTTATCCCTTCCGGCCGCCGCTGCTGCTGCTCTACTGCGTCACGCAGCATGGCGTACACCTTTGACTCCACGCAGAGTTTGCCCCCTTTCGCGACGGTAAACGACTTCAACACCATTGTCACAGTGGGAATAGAGAGAAAGTTTCCATGTTGCGCCTTGTGTTTGCGGCGATCAAACTTGCGCGTGGCGGCAAAACGATTCAGTAGTTCCCTGAAGAAGACGCCATCGACCGGCTCCCCTGCATGAGCTGCAGCGTACATCAGGTAGGCACTGTCTTCTTGGGTAAATGTGAATAAAGTATTCCTAAGGAAGGAGTTTTTGCAATGCGACACGAGCTCCGGGGGAAATGCCTGCAAATCCCGCATGCACCGCACAAGGATTTGTGTGGTGGATGGCAACAGTATCCCTTCCACGTCCTTCAGCCGGTCCACGTACTGCAAAAGCAAAGCCCTCGCCTCTGTGGGTGCAATAAGCGACATACCACGCAGCTGCAGCAGCAGGACGCCCTCACAGTCATCGTTTTCCCCTTTGCGCGATGAAACCATAGAGCGAAGACGCTTCTGCAGCACTTTTCGCAGACGCGGCGCCGCGTCCGGCAGGGCGGCAAGGCACTCGCAACATTCTAGCATCTCCTCTGGCGACATGCCAGGGAGAACACGCAGCAGCAGTTCCTCAAACAGGGTGTTGGGTGGGCCAGCTCGCATGCTCGCCATTGCGCGCAGCAGAGCGACGGCGTGCGCTGCCACAACTTCGCCGGGCGGTTTCTCACAAAGTGCCTCTTGCAGCGCCTCTGTCCACTCCGTGTCGGTGGAGTGGTGTGCCACGAGGGCCTCGGCCACCGTTATCAATTGACCCGTGTCAAGGGTGCCGTCGCGTGTGCGGGAAAGGATGAGCACTCGCAGCACAGCGAGACTTTCCACGTGAAGCGGAACCCCCAACGTCGCACAAAGGCTCACCGCCTGACCGCCGTCTTCCCGCTCGATGCGTTGCGCCGTCAACAATGCAAGCTGCTGCGACACGGCCACAGCAGACCCTAGCGTTGCATGCCGTGGGGTGCGTGACTGAAGTGTGCAGAGATGAGAGCGCCAGAAGACAGCACAGAACCTCAAGTGCTCGTCCAGCGTAAGCTCCTCAAGCAACTCCGCAGCACGCTCCGCAAACCAAGGCTGCTCAAACATGACACGTGACCACAGCGGGCCGGAGTTGGGATCCTCGCTGAGTCGCTTGCCGAGTTCCAGCAAATGCTCGCATGTCAGCTGCTCTGAGACATCTGACAGGAACTCCCCCACTCTTGTCTCCAGATGGCTCCCCGCCGGGTATGAGACACGATGCATGAAATACACGAGTTCTGTCGCATCGTCAACCTCCCCAATCGCGTCCTCCAGCTTTAAATCGTACAGGTAAGAGCGTGCCTGCTGCAGTTGCCGCGGCTCACTAGAGGCACCGGCAATCCAGCCTTGAAGGAGCTCCGAGTGCATTCGCCACGCGAGCGAAGCCCAACAGTAGAAGGTCCTGCGCATGCTTCCCACCCCTATCTACTTCTTTGTTATTGTTGCTGTTGTGGTAGTTGTTTTTTTTCTTTCTTTATTTCTTTTCTCCCTCCCCCCGTTCTCGAGTTTCTGTTGCTGTTGGAAAAAGGGATTCAGTTTGCCAACCTGTGCTTGGCAACTCGCCCCGTCTTCTTTGCCCTCAGCCCACACAGAGTGGGGCGGCAGTCGCTACCGTCTCTTATGCGCCCTTTTTTTGGGGGAGCTCAAGGAGGAAAAGAAGAAGTTTTGGTCTTTAGTAAGCGCAGAAACGCCCCCCCTCCCTCCCCAAGAAAAAAAAAAAACGTTAGTGAGGGCACGTAAAACGAGACGCCGTTTCGTGGCGTTGAGCCTGCACCCGGGTCGCCAGAGCGCTGAAGACAGGAGCGCCCTAGTCCCCCTTCCGCCGCTTCATCTCACCCCGCGGAGAAATCGGTGGGCACCGCGGCGGTGCTGCAAATCTCTGTCGCGGGCCGCGCTTCGCCCGCACGACCCCTTGCAACGCGTAGACCCCGGCCAACACCGTCAATATGTTGAGGCCGAGGAGTATGGCAGAGAAAGCCAAATCGAGCATCATGACGTATGTCTGCAGCCACATGTAATAGACGGCCCCCACCGCCGCCACAAGCAGAAGGCCAAGGGCCAGGCACGAGGTACCCACTTCTTCCGTAAGATTCCCGCGTGTGCCAAGCGATAGTGCGGCAATGTCTACAACGAGGAGAAAAAATGCTGAGACAATTTCCATTGGCAACGCAGCGGGAGGAAACGGCAGCAGAGTTCCCTTGTAGATGAGGAGCGCCAGCGTCAGGATAAACCAGATGCCGCTCCACCCAGAAGAACCGTACAGCAGAAGCTGAAAGGAGAGCGAGGGACCACCCACCGTTGAGCTGCCCGCGTTCATGGACCCCCCGCAATCTAAGAGAGATAAACACAAAGTGAGGTCCCCCCACGCCTTTCGCAGGAAGCAAAAACAAAACAAAACAAAACAAAACAAGAACCAAAATACACAATAAAGCATGAGAAGATGCACTAGTCGACGCACACATTGTACACGCAGAGGGACGGAGGGAAACATGTGCGCATTACTGCCTCAGTCCCTCTACCCTACGCATAGAGGACAAAACACATTTAATCGACAAGCTTATTTAAATGTCTGGGATATTTTCACTCTTTCCCTCCCGCTTCCTCGCCACTTTTTTTTTTTTACTATGCCGTATTATCTCAGATTTCCTCGTCGCTGTCATCCGCCTCCTGTCCAGCTGCTGGGTCTCGTACGGCTCGTCGAAGCACGGTTCGTCGCTCACGTTCGCGCAGGCGACCAACACGCTCCTTTTCTTGCTGCTTTACTAATTCTGCCTTCCGTTGCTTCAGCTGTCGTATGTCTAATCCACGCAGCGGCCTGAACTCCTCATCTGAGACTTCCTGCTCCAGAAAGGCGTACTTACTCGACACCTCACCATTTGGCATGCCTGCTGACATGGCCTCTTCTACCTGATACTCTTCCTCTTCCTCTTCCTCTTCTTCAACCGCTGCTTTGGCTTCCCGCCCGACACTAGCGTCATTGTCTCTCTTTTCGGCGTCTGTAACTGATTCCCCCAGCGTTGGGCGCTTCTGGCACTTGGCGCAGCGCGTCGTTTCCGTTGCACACCTCTGGCACATATGGTGGTACGCAATAGCCACCGTCCTTTCCTGACAGCAGTTGCACTTCCTTTGACGTTCCAGAGGAATGTACTTGCCGTAGTCCACCTTCCATTGTAGGATTTCGCAGCAGCGGCGGCAGCACAAACTAGTGAAAAACGCCACCACACCCGGGGGAAGCTTCTGGTCATCTAACTTGTAGCGGTAGGGATCAAACTTCACCTTGTTCCTGTACACCTGTTGCGAACCCCGCGCCCCATGCCTCACAAGACGCTTGCCGGGCATTTTCTCCGACCTTAGTGGTTTGCGCTGCGCGTAGAGAAATGGGGGTTGACACGAAGCACGCCTCCGCTCACGGCTGGCATAGATATATAAAGGAAGAAAGAGAGAATAACACAAGAAAAGAATTGGGCGAGAAGTGAGAAACAGAGCTGAGATTTAGGAGGAATTCCGCGGAGGAGAAACATCCGCGCCCAAGGCAGAGAAGGTGCACACGTCCCAAGAATACAAAGCAGAGGAGATTGATGGGGCACTGAGCAAAGACCGCACACTTACGTTTCCTTCACATCTTTTACTGGCAGTGGCGAGTCCAAATAGAGCGAGAGCTGCGAGATGGTGGTGCAGTTGATCAGCTCCCCCCACTCCCATAGCAAGCAACTCCCACAACGCTCCCTGCGCAGGCCACTGCCACCAACCCTATCACCAGCTTCAGCATCATGAACGGTATGAGCCTCACCTTCATTGTGGGGGTAGCGGCAAACAAACCCTGCAATGACACCAAAGCTACATGGATCTCCGACGCACCGTTCTACTACAGACCTCGGGCCTGAGGATGCGCAAGGAAAGGACGAAGGCAGTTCCCGTGCAAGACCTGCGGAGACCTCGCCGCACTGACTCTGCCCTCCGCATGCCCACCGCATAACCGAGTTCAGAAGATCCTCTTCAACGGACAGAGAAGGGGTTTCACCGCCTCCGGCACCAAAGAAGTTTACAACATCGTCCTTGAGAAAGAGCACACAACCGTACGACGTGGTTGCCACCGCATCGGCTTCCCCACCGACTCGCCCCTGCAAGAGCCTAGAGAAACTAAGCGAACCAACAGTTTGCCCCTTACTGTAAACCCAACGACCGACAAACATGCCAACTGCGTTGAAGAAACGAGGAAATTGAAGGAATACACCGCAAAGAAAGTAGTTGCCCGAGCAACACCAAACAAACCCAAGAAGGGGTTGACGTTAAAACACCGTTTGTGCAAGGTTCCAGGTACAAACAAAGTCCCCAATTCCTTTCGGACTGTCTCTAACGTCGTTCTCAACGGCGCAGCGTTTGTCAGCGCTCCCTTTACCTAAAATGGACATGAAGCGAGCCGTAAGACAAATACACACCCAAAACCACAAACTGGCAGAGAATCGTCATAAGAACACATAAGCAAGCAAACAAAGAAAAAGTCAAAGTACATAAATTACTATTCTCTAAACCAAAAACTATCTACCACCGCCGCATAAGAAAAGGTGCCACAAAACGATGATCCCCCAAAGCACGGTTGCAAACACATGAAACACGCATATAAATAAACCCGCAAAACTCACTCTCGTTTTTTCATCCCATCAAAGGCACCCTTAACACAGCGCAGACGCGCACGAATTCACATTTTTCACCCCGCATTCCCTTCTCTTTGGTTACCTTCACTAACGTTCAGTAAAGAACGAGACCTCCGAAATCTGATCCCCAGGCACATGACACGCATTACCAGCATCAATGACGAATGCCGCCATAAGTGCCTCTGGCCTCTCACGCAATAACTTTCCCCACCCGTCACCATCTAGGACCTTCACATGTCGCGTAACAACCTTCTGCTTCACCTCAGTAGGGTCTGTCCACAATTCACAATGATCCCTCAAAAACACAAGTTCCTTTTCCTTGTCAGCCAACAGGAAATTCAACGCAGAGTTCACTCCATCAACACCCTTTAGTTGCACCAAAATATCAGTCAATTCTCTCTCCAGTGCCTCAACTGCATGATCCCTTTCAGCACACAAATTTGCAAAAGCCTCCTCCAACGCACGTGACTTTGACTGCAACCCATCAAACGCCAACTCCCTTGACTTCATATCAGATAAAACACTTTCCCTCTCCAACGAGCCCCGTTCCAACTCCTCAAGCAACGTTTTATTACCATCTGCAAGCTTCTCGTTCTCGGCAGCCTTTTGTTCGAGCTCTTCTGCGAGCCTTTCATTCTCGGCCGCCTTCTGCTCCAGCTCCTCTGCAAGCTTCTCATTCTCGGCCGCCTTTTGTTCGAGCTCTTCTGCGAGCCTTTCATTCTCGGCCGCCTTCTGCTCCAGCTCCTCTGCAAGCTTCTCG